CTACACTTTCTCTAATTACTTTAGTTCCCCTTGATAACTTTCTCTCTAATAAAGAATCCCTAAAATTTGGATAGTGCCCTAAAGTTTTCCTGGCGCTTTCACACTTGGATATATGCCTTATCTTGTTTTATTCTCACAACAGTCCTATAAAGCAGGCAGAGCAGAAATTATGACAGCCATTTTATAGGCGAGGAAACCGAAAACTCAGAGAAGCTAAAAGACTCACCCACCATCACTCGAGATTACAACTCTGGGCTTCCAATTCTACATCAGTGTATCCTTCCCTACGCTTCCGTGCTCAACAACTATTACACATAAAGTCAGCAATCCAAAATTTAGAAACAATTGCTAAAGTTCATGGTGTTTTAGTCTTATCACTCTCTTTACAAATACAAATAGAGGAAAAGGATTGTGTCGTATACTAATTTGAATCACTCACAATATTTAATACAATGTGGAGTCTCACGAAATAGTCAATAAATGCTTGTTGTTTGACCCATAAAAATCCTACCATTTGTACACCTTCGCCATTTCTATTTTCTAGAAGTTCATTCTTTCTCAAAAAGATACAGATCACTTCTCAGTACTTTTGCACACCCACTCATCTTTCTCTTTCTTTTCCCTGTCCCCTGGGTCCCAAACTTTTACTATGGAAAGAACACTTGGGAAATTTATCAGAAAGGGGATCCATAAATTGAGGCTCAACATGATTCTTTTTAGAATTATTTTCTCTGTGTTTCTAATAGAGAAATGAAGACAAGTTTTTTGTTATTTTAAGGTATGTTTACATTTTGAGGATCCTTGTAAAAGTATAATCATTGCAGAAATGAACTGCCTTATTAGAATTAGCAATTATCTCTAGGATTATATTAATAATTCCTCTTCTTATAGAAACATTCTAGATTACTGCATCTCAAAATCTAGGAAACCACACAAATACCCATCAGAAGTGAGTAGATAAGCAACATGTAGTACATCCATACAATGGAATACTACTCAACAAAAGGGAATGAGCTTTGGTTACATTCAACAGCATGCGTGACTCTCAACATAATTATGCTGAGTGAAAGAGGAAAGACACCAAGACTACTTATGATTCCATTTATGTAAAATTTTAGGAAATTCAAAGTACTCTATAGTGACAGTTGTTGCCTGGGCATGGGATAGGGGGCACCAGGGGCATAGCAGCAGGGGAGGAGTAGGGCTCGAAAGGGATACGAGAAAACCTTGGGGGATGATGTGTAGGTTCATTATCTTTTTAAAAAATATATTTTTATTGATTTCAGAGAGGAAGGGAGAGGGAGAGAGAGATAGAAACATCAATGATGAGAGAGAATCATTGATCTGCTGCCTCCTGCACGCCCCACAGTGGGGATCGAGTTTGCAACCTGGACATGTTCCCTGACTGGGAATCGAACTGTGACCTCTTGGTTCATAGGTCAACACTCAACCACTGAACCATGTTGGCCAGGCTATTTTCATTATCTTGATGATGGTGAGAGTTATCAAAACTTATCAAATTGAAAAAATCTATGTGCTGTTTATTGTATCTCAAGTGTACTTCATTAAAGCTGTTTAAAAATATAAAGTGCGTATGAATTACTTGACGATCTTATGAAATACACAGGCCTGAGATTCTGCTTTTCACAGGTGTTGTTGGAGCGGCTGCTCTGTGGACCATATTTTGAGTAGCAAGGCTCTATATGACCTAATTTTACATTATTTATTTACTTAAAATAGTGTCATTTTAAAAAATTGATTTCAGAGAGGGAGAAAAGGAGGGAGAGACATCAATGTGAAAGAGATAACATGGATTGGGTTAGTTGCCTCCCATACATGCCTGACCATGCCTCAACTTGGCTGGCACCCACAACCTAGGTATGGCCCCTGACTGGGAATCAAATCCATGACTTTCCAGTGCATGGATGATACTCCAATCAACTCAGCCCCACTGTCCAGGACCTAATTTTACATGATTATGTATGGTTCTCATGTTGTAATAGATGGTATACATTTTCTGTTCTGGAAAAAAAAATAAGAAAATAAATAAAAGACTTACACTGATAGGAAACCACATGTAGGAACCCTCTTCAGGATACATGAACATTCCATATTCTGTCTTGGTCATCTCTTGAAATATGAAGTAGAAGAACTCGGACTTTACCCCATAGCCCACAGAACTTATTTCGTTAATAAATTCAATCTGAGGAAAGAGAACACTCCCAGTTAAAATGTAATGCCTTGACCTTTTGTAGAAAAGTTTCAAACCTCCTGCAGTCACCAGAATTCCCAGAATCCCACATCTCTTACTTCACTGCAATCTGTTCTCCCTCAATTTGCTCCTGAGCAGCAGCTGCCATGAACCTTTTTATTATCCGATTATTGTATACTGTGTGCATGGGGCTTTTACACTGCCATGAACCAAGTGAAGGGGATGCTAGCAAGACTTAGCATTCACCAATTATGTTGACCAGCGTCTTAAACCAAATTTTGATATGCTTTAATCCTCTGGGCCACTAAATCCCCTGATTCTTCTATCTTGTTATCTGTCTTCATTGCATCATTCAGACTTTACAGCTTTGGCCCAATCAACAACTATTTAATTTCTCCTACCTCTCCCCTCTTTAGGACTTTTGATAAACAGCCCTTCCAGCCTGCCTGGGCCTAGCATCCTTCCAGGAACCATGAGCCCTAACTGCCCATATCCCTTGTGTGGGAGATCAATATGAACTGGTCCCTCTTTTCTAAAGTCCAGTATTGAACTTTGTGGCCGAGTGCACTCCCAGCTTTCCTCTCTAACGACTCCCTCTCTACTTCCTTTCCTGGATAATTTCTTTTTATCTTTCTAATACAAGCATCAGTAAGCTTGACTAAGAGTTCTCTTTTTGCCTGGAAGATCTTATCTATTGCCACTTTGGTCAACTGATTCCTTGGCCCTAGACGGTCATCTCCAAGGGCCTGCCTCTCATTCCATCTGGATATCCCAATAACGAATTAAGCTTACTTCCGATTTTCTCCTTTCTCAGTGGTTGAGTGTTGACCCTAGCAAGTCTGCCTCTGTCGTGGTCAGGACACACTCATAATGGGCCTTGACAGCCTTGCTTTGCTCAGGGTCTATATTTTTATCAGATCTCTCTTACCTTCTTACCTCTTTGTCATCTCCTGTAGCAGAATCATTTTCAGTTCATTTCCTCATAATCAAGATTTAAAGGAGAGTAGGTACAGAGGGAGACATACAACTAGAAAGTCTGGCTTATAAAATATTTTGTTTCCCATTGGAGTCCCATGCTGAGAAATATCCCTCTCCTGTGTGAGTCTAACCCTCCAGGTTCTGGTTTCTTCTCTGAGAACCCAAATCTTCCCCTCACGGCTGATATCGAGAAAATCCACTTCTTTCTGAACGGACTCCAGCTCGAATCTAGAGTTAGTCATTATTTTATAGCCTCAATAAGGCTAATAATCTGAGGTACCACACAATAAAATTCCTACAGGTGCCCACAAAGGGTGAAGTGAAGGATAGTTAGAACCAATATAGTAGTGGAAGTTCTATAGCTAAAAGTAGAGCCAGAATGTAGGAAAAGTGTCTGCTCCACCTGCTGCTTGTGGATTGCACTGACAGCCCCAATTCTTCGCCCCTCCTTGAACCAAGTCTTTTGCATGTGACTTTGCAGTTCCGCCCTTTAAAGAGGCTGAGTATATTTCACCAGCTCTTGATGTGGGTTCAGCCATGGGACTTGCTTTGACTAAAGCAATGTCTGTTGTGTGACTGGGCTTGTTATTTTGTACCTCTGGCACTGTTGTGAGAAGAACATCTTGCTGGTCCCAGGAAGAAGATGAAAAACAGGAAGCAGAGCCAAACTTCCTCAGACAGGCCTAGCCTAGCTCAGTCCATCCCTAGCCAACTCCCAAACATGTCAACAGGTGCATACAGAATCTGCAAAGCCGCCCAGATAAGTTCACCCTAAATCAGGAGATCTTCTACTGAACTGCAGATAAAGTATTGTTATTTTCAGTCATTAAGCTTTGGGATGGTTCATTATAGCCATAGGTAACTAGTTAATTTATAATCCCAATGTTCAATGAAATGTCCCATTGCTTTTCTCTGAAGGGTAAGCAAGGAATTCTGGAAATCATAAGGCTGATAAGTATAGTTGCAAATGCAGGCTCTTCCTTTGCTACATTAAATAACTGCTTCTCTCCCACAGTAGTAAAATGTCCAATGAGACTTTTTACCGTACCGCCAATTCTTTCCGAAGGTCAGTGACTGCAGCTTGGTCTAATTGACGCAGAGCATCATCAACTAGGTGACTTCGTCTGACTTGAAGTAAAAATTGGGGTGAAAACATATGTGTAATTTGTGACCCCTGGAAAAAGAAATATTTTAGGAATCTTCACTGGAATATTAGGAAATATTTAACATTTCAGATAAACCCATTTTGTGTAACATACAATTATGCCTACTATTGCCATATATGGTCATATTGTAATTATTTAAGAAAAGAGCATCATATGTACACTATGGAAGATAAAAAGGTGGTAGAATCTGTGAGACTGTGCTATCCAGGAATTTTGTACAGGGGATGAATCATCGTGGATGTACAGCTAAGTAATTAAAAGCTATCTCTGATCACTTATTTTAGTAAACATGATCCTTAGAAGCAATAGTGGTGTTCACCATGCAGAGACATTCTCCCACCAGTTTTTGAGAAGAAGAGTGTTAGCACAATAATCCTCAAGAATATAAGGGCAGGTTAGAAGCTCAGGGATAATGTGAGATGTAGGGAACAGACTAGAGGAAAGACTTGCTCAAAGAAAAGTGTTCTCTGTTACCCTACATAGTACCTCCATTAAGCTCTTCTAAATTCTCAACATGCCCTCACCATTTCAGCTCCCTGCTCTTGTTTCTGCTGAACTCCCTGGGAATAGAAATCTAGTGTTGGAATTACTATCCTTGCTTTGACCTTTAACCTTCCTCTTGGACTTTTGCTATATCACAAGGACAATAAAGGAGTATTTAGGATTCATAAACCAATGCCACTATTGTGACAGCAAGACAGGTGGATAATAACTATCCTAGTCCAGGTTTCCAGACCGTGTGGTTGCCCATATTAGCACTCTATAAGCTACTCAGAGAAGTGCATGCATATGGCTCTGGGCTTGGGAAAGCCCTGTCCCAGATCTCTGCTACCACTGTATACTGAGAACTTATATGTGATTCCACTAGATTCTTCTGGTTTTTCCCTAAGATCTTTGTTGTAAAGAAGCTCCACAGCCCTACCTGGCTTGGCTCAGTGGCTAGAGCGTCGGCCTGCGGACTGAAAAGTCCCGGGTTCAATTCCCGTCAAGGGCACATGCCCGGGTTGTGGGCTCGATCCCCAGTAGGGGGTGTGCAGGAAGCAGCCATCATCGATGTTTCTATCTCTCTCTCCCTCTCCCTTCTTCTCTGAAATCAATAAAAATATATTAAAAAATATATATTTAAAAAGAAACAAAACAAGAAGCTCCGTATTTGTAGGGAGATGGAAAAATGCCATTTCTAGTCCTTTCTGGTGGTGGGTCATCTCCTCCTGTGGCCTTGGAATCTGCAGACTCTTCAGGAATACTGACTGCTAAGCTACATGTCCCGTGGCTCTGAGTGACAGGGAGGGCCAGCAATACCCTGCACTGACTATAGCAGGGAAAGGTGTATGCGTCCTGCTGTTGCCCAGGCTTCTTTAGCCTTCCCAAGAATTGGACTTGAAACCTGTGTATCTTATTTTCCAGTCTCTCTACTCCCATTCTCCATGTATTGGTTTCCCATTTCTACATTTGTGCATTTGGATTGATAATCTAGTTGGGAGCTTACAATTTTGACTAAGTCCATCATCTCTCCTCTGGAGGACAGGATTGTGGAACCTGCTTTGTGATTTCACCCATGACAACTACAACTAAGAATTTTCTTGTCCTCAAACATTTCCCAACCCTTCATAGTATATAACTTGCCTGGGTACGCTATGCACTCAGCCCTCACTAACAGAGCAGACAGGTTAGACAGAAAATTTCTATAGAAGAAAATAATGTAGAGAGAAAGATTTGCTTAAAGGGAACTTAAGGGAAAGTTAGGTTAGGGAAGGAAAGATTTAATCTATTTTCTCCCATTACCAGGAATGTCAGGAAAATTGAAAAAAAAAAACAAAAAAACAAGAGGTGGCTGGGAACCAGAAGAGATGACCAAGTCAATCTGATGATAGACACTAATAACAGTAACTAAAGGGAGAGTCCTTAACTATGGAATGCTTTTAGCAGGAAGTACTTTGTCCCTCTAGGTTGAGTATTATAAATAAACTAGAGGACTGGTGCATGAAAATTTGTGCACTTGGGGGGAGTGTCCCTCAGTCCAGCCTGCTCCTTTAGTCCGGGAGCCCTCAGGGGATGCCTAAGCTGCAGTCTGGCCTCCCTCTGTGGGAGGCGACCAGCACGACGATCGGGGACAGCGCCGGCCATCAAGCAGCTGGCCCTGCCCCCCGATCACCCCTCCACCGCCGCTGGTCACTGCCACCCCCTATCGCCGTCTCCTTCCTCCGCCTGCTGACACCTGTCTTGGCTGACCTGGTGCTGCCCTCTCACCGGCCCCGCCCTGCCCCCTGCCAACCCGTCCTTCTGCCATTTGGTGGATTTGCATATTAGGCTTTTATTATATAGGATGTGGTGTTTATGGATTTATCAGGCATGGCCCATTGGAAAATGTCATATAAGCTCTATAACTAATAGGGAATGAAAAGGAAATATTTTATTACTGAAATGACTCCTTTTGTGCATGTGATGTCCCAGACTTTTCACTTACATGGCCCATCTCCTTTGAATTATTAGCAAAAGTAATGGGTATGTTTCTGATTCCTTTAAGTCGTTAAAGTCTGTCTTATAGTCTTAGTTTTTTTCTTTTTTCTTTTGTTAATCCTCACCCAAGGATATTTTTCCTTTGAATTTTAGGGAGAGTAGAAGAGAGAGGGAAAGACAGAGAGAAACATCGATGTGAGAGAAACACATCAATTGGTTTCCTCCTGGGCTGGGGAGGAGCCTGCAACCAAGATACATGCCTTTGACTAGAATTGATCCTGGGACCTTTTGGTCCGCAGGCCAACGCTCTATTCACTGAGCCAAACCTGCTAGGGCTCTTATAGTCTTTCTATAAACATCATAGAAAATAGATACGAACCTTTCCTGAGGAATGGCCTAGAAAACAAACTTCAGTGATCAAAAAATGTTTGGAAAATCTTTAGCATAATGTCTGGGCATGTGGTGAATATAACTGAAAACTAAGGCTGACGGTGACAAGAGAGACAAAATACCATGTAAGTGTTTTGTGGGAATAATACAACTTGCAGAAAAAGAATGGAAGGAAGGGAATAAATGGAAGACAGAATAAATTCACTGGGAATAAAAGAATATCAGTTGGGGCTTATAAATCAAGCTCCAAGACTTTTAAAGAAATTGTTATTTATTGATTTTAGAGAGATAGAATGGGGTGGGGAGAGAGAGAGAGAGAGAGAGAGAGAGAGAGAGAGAGAGAGAAACATTGATTTGTTGTTCCACTTATTTATTCATTCATTGACTGCTCCTTGTATATGCCACGACCGGGGATCAAACCCACAATCTTGGACTATCGAGATGATGCTCTAATCAACTGAGCTACCCGGCCAGGGGTCAAGCTCCAAGACTCATAAACAGATATGATAATCCAAAGAGTAACAACTAAGAACTTAGTATAGTCACTAAAACTGGATAGAGAGAAAAAGAGCATTTATTTGATCATTTCAGTATTGCTCATAGTAGGAAAACAATGGTTATTAGCTGAAGAAAGTGAGGCTGCAGCCATTATATAATAACTAGAGGACGGGTGCATGAATTCGTGCATGGGTGAGGTCCCTAGGCCTGGCTGGTGATCAGGGCCGATCAGGGCCATCTCGCCCAGTCTCGATTGGGGCCAGGCTGATCAGGGCCAGGGCAATTGGGGCCTGCCGGCTGGGGGAAGCAACAGGTGGAGGGACCACAGGTTGGCTGGCCAGCCTCTATCGGGGTCAATTGGGGCAGCCGGCTGGGGGGAGGGACCATGGAAGGTTGGCTGGTCGCAGGGAGGGACCAGTGGCTGGGCGAGGGAGATTGGCTATGGGAGTGCACTGACCACCAGGCGGCAGTCTCCTGTGTTGAGCGTCTGCCCTCTGGTGGTCAGTGCACATCATAGTGACTGGTGGACCGGTTGTTGCAGTCATTTGGGTCGTAACAGTCACTTAGGCTTTTTATATATATAGATGAGAACCATAAATTAAAATTAAATTGAGCTGACTGGTGTTGCTCAGTGGTTGAGCATTGACCCATGAACCAAGAGGTTGATTCCTGGTCAGGGCACATGCCTGGGTTGCAAGCTTGATCCCCAGTGGGGGGCGTGCAGGGGGCAGCCAATCAGTGATTCTCTCTTATCATTGATGTTTCTCTCTCTCTCTCTCCCTTTCCCTTCCTCTCTCTGAAACAATAAAAAACATAATTTTTAAAAAAATTAAATTGGAATATCAGGGCTAACCCATCGAATTGGAACACTGCTTAGTAACACTGCATTGGTTATAATGTAAAGGGGCATTTCATGCATTGCTGGTGGTAACATAAATTGGTACAACTACTATGCATGGAAAAGGATTAAGCATTAGTCTGCCTTCTTATATGGATGATTTTTCAGGGAAGCCAAAGAGCCCTCATTGATGAGGAAAAGTTCTTTACATAAAAAGTAAAAAAGTTAAAAAAGTAAAAGTTCTTTGTAGTTCATAACTTTGGAAGAAATGATAATATTAGAAATGTTGCTGTTTTTCAAACTTCAACCAAAACAATGGATAAAATCTATACTAATAAAAGGGTAATATGCTAATTAGACCAAACGTGTTCCAGACGTCCTTCTGGACAAAGCCGCGGCTGTGAGGGCCGATGCAAGCCGCCACAGCTGGGAGGGCCCATCACAGAGCCCTGGCAGGGTGGGCAGGGCCTCCCTCTGCGTAGCATTGATCACAGTGCCCTGGCAGGGTGGGCAGGACAGGCAGGACCTCCCTGTGGGCAGTGATGTATGGCAGAGGCCAGGCTGGGTGGGCAGGGCCTTCCTGTGGGCGGGGATCAATGGCAGAGCCTGGCCTGGTGGGAAAGGTCTCCCTCTGCACAGCATTGATCACAGAGCCCTGGTAGGGTGGGCAGGGCCTCCCTGTGGGTGGCAATGAATGGCAGAGCCCAGGCTGGGTGGGAAGGGCATCCCTCTGCTCTGCAATTGATCCCAGAGCCCCACCAGGGATCAGGCCTAAACTGGTAGTCGGACATCCCTCGAGGGGTCCCAGATTGGAGAGGGTGCAGGCCAGGCTGAAGGACCCCCCACCCCAGTGCACGAATTTCATGCACCGGGGCTCTAGTAATTAAATAAAAGATTAATGGGAAATATTACAATGGAAATACCATGTGGTCACCAACTGAACCCACTGATGAATCTCAGCATGAATAAGAGTGAAACAACCAAAAATATTGCCCTGAAGTATGGAGAGGAGAAAAGAAAGTGGGCCTAGGATTTGCTTTAAAATAATTCAGCAAAAATACTAACAACTACAAAAACAACAATAATAGTAAATAAAAGTGTAGCAAAATGTTGATGACTGCTAAAACTTTGTGATGGGATTCATTACACCATTATTTCTATTTTGTATATGTTTGAAATTTTACATAATAAAAATGTAAGGCATACATACCAGTTTTTTCAAAAAGGAATCAGCTTGCCATAATTTAATTTTGGATAGCAAATTAAAGATAAATGGAAATTCACTGAAAATAATGGGACTGAAGTTTCCTGCAGTTATCTAAGAAACAAACAGATAGTTTTGATCATTAAAAGCAGAGAAAAATGTCATTCCTTTACTTCATCACCTTAAATTATTTCTTTCTATATTTTTCTAGAATCTGTTTTTAAAAATCCAAATTACTTAGAAACAAATTTCTAAGAAAATGCATTTGTTTTGTGAGTAAAAGATGTTTAAGTTTTCACTGATTATCTAGTTTAGTATATTCCCTGCCTACATACCTACATAGCTACTAATGTGTCCCCCCTTAAAGTATGAAAATATTCAGAGCCCTCTTGGTATTTCCACTCAGAAGTGAAAATGTTACTCTTACCAGGTAGTTATCTCTCTGGAACATTATTTTTCTTTCTTCAATAAAGTTCAACTTACTGGAGAGTTCATTTATGATGAAAGTATTCTCTGGTAGTTGACAAGTAGCTTTGTTTACCTTAAAGAGAATATGACCTGTGAATATCATTTTCTACTAACGAATGATGTAATCTTCTAATAAAAGAGTAATATGCAAATTGACCATCACTCCAATACACAAGATGGCTGGCAGAGGAGGGCAGCTGGGGGGAACCAGTCCTGCAGGGGAGGACAGGGGTGACCAGGCTGACAGGGGAGGGCAGTTAAGGGCAATCAGGCAGGCAAGCAGGTGAGCGGTTAGGAGCCAGCAGTCCTGGATTGTGAGAGAGATGTACCAGATTGGAGAGGGTGCAGGCTGGGCCGAGGGACACACCCCCCATGCACAAATTTCGTGCAATGGGATATATATATATATATATATATATATATATATATATATATATATGAATCTAAGAACACACACACACACATATCTATATGAGAGAGAGAGAGCTATTACATAGGTAATCAGAATAGAGCTCTATAAACAAAATGCCTTTATTAATGATGAAGTAGAATTCTATGAAACTTTCATTTTTTAGATCTGTAATTTCTCCAATTGGCAGTGGAGATAGTACAGCAATTCTTAGGGCACAGGTTTTCTGGAAACAGTTCCCAGATCTTGAGAATAAAATTTGCACCATAAAAATTCAGCCCTTTTTCCATTAATTAATGAATAATAATGTAGTGCATACTATTTGCCAGTTGTGGGACAAAACATAAGGTAAAAATTGTCCTAGCTTACATGAAGCTTACTGTCTTGTATAATAGTTAGCAAACCCTTTCTTAATTCTGGATAGTAAAAATTTTGGGATTGGGGCCATACAGTCTCTGCTGCAGCTATTCAACCCTGACATTTTATAGCACAAAACAGTCATAGACAATATGTAGACAAGTGAGTGTGGATATGTTTCAGTAAGCTGCCCATGGGCATAAACAGCCAACTGGTGATCCATGCTCTGGTAGGTGAAAACAACAAGTAATCAGGCATCTGGGATACAGTTTCTCTTTGGAGAAGGAATTAAAGGTTCAAGAAGGCCTTTCAGAAGAAGACATGTTGGCAAATCAATAATCAAAATAAAGCTCCATCAAATCAAATGAATTCAAAATATGGGAGGCAGGAAATAAAGAATCAAAGAACATAAATTAGGAAGAGAAAACCCAGATGTAGATGTACAGGAGAGAGGATCAACAAATAAAATGGTTGGTTCTTGGGTACTTGGGGGGGGGTGGAGGACCCACTCTGTAAAGTCCCTCTTTTTCTAAGCACTTTGCTGTATATCTGAATCTAACACAGAATAATATTGAATGTAACCATAATTTAAATTAATAAGTACACAACAATAAAAGACCCCCCAGCTTCCTGGTAAAACTGATCCAGAAAAAAAGAAAGCAAATAACCAATATTGGAAACAAAGAGTACACATCACACAGAGATGGGTAAGAGAGAGGTCTATTACAAAACATCTTTAAGTCCTCATAAAGTTATTCACTTGTTAAATCCTCAATTATTTTATGCCAAACATTCCCCTTTTATACATTACTTTAAAAAATATGTAACTTCACATGATTCATATTTGTCTTCTTAAGACTCCAATTGATCATTCACAATACCAATGAAATACTTAGGAATCAATTTAAGCAAGTACATGAAAGATCTGTACACTGAGAACTATAAGACTTTGGTAAAATAAAGTTGAAGAAAACACAAGGAAATGGAAAGATATCCTGTGTTCATGGATTAGAAAAACTAATATTGTTAAAATGTCCATTATACATAAAGTCATCTATAGATTTTATACAATTCCTCTCAAAATTCTGAGGAAGAAGAACAAAGCTGGAGGTATCACACCTCCTGATTTATAACTATACTATAAAGCTATAGTAATCAAAACTGTAATGATGTAATCTCTCTCTCTCTCTCTCTCTCTCTCTCTCTCTCTCTATATATATATATATATATATGTATATGAATCTAAGAACACACACATACTGGAATACAGATGAATCTAAGAACACACACACACTATTTTTATGGCGCTGAAATAAAAATAGACACATAGACTAGTAGAGCACAGTCAAGAACCCGGAACTAAATCTTTGCATATTTGACAAGGGAGTCAAGAATACTCAATAGGGAAAGGATAGTTTCCTCAACAAATGCAGCAGGGACACTGGATAACCACAGGAAAAAGAATAAAATTGGACTCCTATCTTACACCACTCACAAAAATTAACTCAAAATGGATTAAAGACTGCCTGACCAGAGTGGCTCAGTGGTTGAGCTTCGACCTATGAACCAGGAAGTCATGGCTCAATTCTGGTCAGGGCACACCCAGGTGGTGGGCTCGATCCCCAATGAGGGGCGTGTAAGAGGCAGCCGATCAATGATTCTCTTATCAAAGATGTTTCTATCTCTCTCTCCCTCTCCCTTCCTTTCTAAAATCAATAAAGATATATGTATGTGTGTGTGTATGTGTATATATATATATATATATATATATATATATATATATATCCCCCCCCATAAATACTAGAGGCCCAGTGCACAAAAATTTGTGCACTGGGGGGGGGGGGGCTCAGCCCGGCCTTTGCCCTCTTTGCCCTCTCGCAGTCTGGGACCCCTCGGGAGATAACGACCTGCTGGCTTAGGCCTGCTCCCGGGTGGCAGAGGGCAGGCCCAATCCCTAGGTGCAGCCCCTGGTCGGGCTCAGAGCAGGGCTGATTGGGGAGTTGGGGCGCACGCCCCCTGTCATGCACAGAGCAGGGAGGATTGGGAGGTTTATTGATCCACCCTCAGTCACGCTCAGGGTAGGGCTGATTGGGGGTG